GTCTTCCCCACACCCTTGTCAGTTATATTTTACAAACGTGGAAAACATTAGCAGAGTTCCAAAGGTCAAAATCACACAAGAATGGGCAAGCAGGTGGTGTGGTTGTTAAGGCACATCATCTCTCACAGATCGACAGTTTGAGTCCTGGGCCCGGCGACTTGCTTTCTTACTTTCCTCTCTCTCTCTGTCACTCTCTGGTGAGCGCACATGCCCTATAGCAAAATAAAAAATAATAACAACTGAATGCAAATAAATAAATTGAAATAAAAAAATATACTCCCGACTGGCTTCTTTCTTCTTTCTTAGAATTATTTATTTATTTAATCCCATTTGTTATCATTATTTTTTAATTTGACAGAGACGGAAAGAGAGAGAGAAAGCAAGAAAGCAAGCCACCAGGTCCGGGACCTGAACTGCAATCGGCCATATGGGAGTCCAGCATCTCTAACCATTATGCTACCTGCCAGCCTCAAAATAAATCATTTTTTTAAGGGACCAGCAGTTGGCATAATGGCTATGTCACTGAACTCCCATGTAGTCGACCTCGGTTTGAGTCCCGGACCCGGTAGTTTAAACTCACCCCGGGCGCATGTGTGTGTGCGTGCCCAAGATCCCGAGAGGAGAATGGAGGAGAAGGGATTGTGGCATGGCCATCCCCCCGGGGGGTGATTTCTCACTTTCTGTCTCTCTGTCTCTTATTGTCTTTCTCAAGAGCGCACATGCCCTATAGCAAAAAACCTCTCCCTCCCCCCCCAAAAAATGTAAAGTCACACGGAAATGGGGCCAGCAGGTGGCGTGGTGGTTACAGGTGCTGGACTCCTGCATGGCAGACCACGGTTGAGGTCCTGCACCTGGCAGCTCTCTCTCTCTCTCTCTCTCTCTCGTTTTTCTCGCCTGCCTGCTCTGCAGGGACCTGTCGCTGAGTGCCTCACTGTCCGCAGAGCTGCTCCCCCTCACCTTCAGTGCTGGCACTCTGCTCCGGGTGGCCCATTCTTCATCTCACCGGTCCTCGATGGAAGAGGATTTAGGCCGTTCTCAGTATTTTCCAAAGACTGAAAGTGCTGCAGTTAATTAGATTGTGCATCCGCCTTCTCATGTCAGTGGACGGATGTCTTCGGGGTCAGTTCTTAGAGGTGCGATTACTGCGTTAAGGGACAAGTGCACGGAGATTTTGCTGACTGCAGAAGGCACATGGATGGGATGAGAGCACATGTTTGATGCGACATTTAAAAAATGTTTGCATAGTGTTCTCAGAACATGTATTTCTATGGATTTGAAGGCCCCTGTGTAAGGGTACTTGTTCCCCCAGCCTCACCAAAGCAGTCTGCTGCAAAGCTTTTTCCCGTCTGACTCTCTGAACAGTAAGAAGTAGTATCTAACCATGGTCTTCATTTGCGTTGCTCTCATTTTAAGAAAGCCTTTATGTTTTTTTTAAAGAATTATTTCTTTAATTTTATTTTTATTTATTTATTTATTTATTTTGAGAGGTTTTTGCCATGGGGTGCATGTGCTTGCCAGAAAGACAGCAAGAAACAGAGAGACAGAAAGCGAGAAATCACCCCCCAGGGGGGATGGCCACGCTGCAATCCCTTCTCCTCCGTGCTCCTCTCGGGATCTTGGGCACGCACACATGCATGCATGCCCGGCGTGAGTTTAAGCCACCGGGTCCAGGACTTGAACTGTGGTCGGCCAAATAGGAGACCAGCGACAGCCATTACGCTCACTGCTGGTCCTTAATTTTATTTATTATTATTTTAATTCACCAGAGAGAGACAGAGAAAGTAAGAAAGCAAGAACCATGGTCAGCCATGTGGGAGTATAGCACCTTAACACCATGCCCCCTGCTGGCCCCAAGTTCCCCTCCCTCTTTTTTTGGAAAATTAAAATATATTTATTTATTTACCTATTTATTTGTTGTGATTTTGGAGCCAGGACTTGGTTGTAGGACTTGAACCTGGGCCAGCCATGAGGGAGTCCAGCACCACAACCACCATGCCACCTCCCAGCCCCAAGCCTTTTTCTTTTAAATGGGGAGATCATAGGAGATCTTCTTCCATTTAATTATATAAAAAGTGTGGAGAGATCTAAATAACATGATGGAGATAGACATGGAGATATCTAGGGCAAGAGCATTCCAGGTAGAAGGAACAGCAAGACCAGGGACCAGCAGTGGTAAAATGGTTACATTGCTGGACTCTCACATAGTCGACCCTGGTTTGAGTCCCAGACCGGGCAGTCTAAATGTCACTCTAGACATGCGTGCATGTGTGCCCAAGATTCCAAGAGGAGAATGAAGGAGAAGGGATTGTGGTGTGGCCATCCCCCTAGTGAGTGATCTCTCACTTCTGTCTCTCTGTCTGGTGAGCACATGAGCCCTATCGCAAAAATCTCTCTCTCTAAAAAAACAAAGACAACAAACAAAATGGCACAGGAAGACAAGGCCCTGGGCGGAAAGGACTTGGTATGTTGAAGGAAGAGCGAGAAGGTCGGGTGACCTGCGTAGAGGGAGGGGAAAGGGAGCACTGAGTGGCTACGTGGTGGGCAGGCCAGATCGCAGACAGCATGGTGTCAGCTTCCTGTGAAAAGCCGGCTAGTAAGTACTTTAGGCTTTTTGACCATCCAGTCTCTGCCACAACCGTCTACCTTGCCACGGCGGCAAAAAGCAGACCCAGATAGCTTGGAGACGAGTGGGCATGGCCATCCTCCAACAAGATTGTACCACTGAAATTTGAAATTCATGTTTAAATGACACATAAATTACATTTCATAAAATTCATCATTGGGTTTTTTTTTTCTTTTTGGAGAGGTTTTCGCTATAGGGCGCGTGTGCTCACCAGCAAGACAGACAGAGAGCTAGAAAGCGAGAAATCACCCCCCAGGAGGGATGGCCACACTGTGGGATCTTGGGCATGCACGCACACGTGCCTGGCATGAGTTTAAGCCACCGGGTCCAGGACTCGAACTGCAGTCGACTACATGGGAGTCCAGCGACATAGCCATTACGCTAACTGCTGGTCCCTCATCATTTTTTTTTTAAATGTATTCATTCATTTATTTTAGTTTGACCAGAGAGAGACACGGAGAGAGAGGGAAAGTGAGAAAGCCAACAGCCAGGTCCAGGACTCGAACCACGGTCAACCGTGTGGGAGTGTCCAGTGCCTTAACCACCACACCACCCGCTGGCCGTGGCTTTTTTAGTTGTTCACAAGGTTGTGAACACACTGCCATGGTTAATCTCACCCCTTCAGCACCCTTGAAAGGAAACTGGCCGTCTAACAGCCAGTCGCCCATCCCCCTCCCAGCCCATTTCCCGGCACCGGCTGACCTACTTCATGCCCGCGTGCTTTGCCAATGCTGGACATTCCGTGCCAGGGGGATCACACACTATGTGGTCTTTTGCATCTGGCTTCTTTTGCTTAGCGGGTTTCCCAGGCTCGGCCCTGAGGGAGCACAAATCAGCCTTGGCCCCCTCTGGCAGGCGAGTAGCAGCCCTCTGTGTGGACAGATCGGTCTGCATGCACCCATCCCTTGACGGACATGGGGCTGCTCCCAGTTTTTGGCTACTATGAGTAAGGCTGCTACAAACATTCGTGTAAAACTTTTGCGTGAACATATGTTTCTGATTCTCTTGGGCACATATACCTACGAGTGGAATTGCTGGGTTGTACGGTAATTCTATCTTTAACGTTTTGAGGGAGCTGCCAAATGAAATTCATATACTTTTTAATGTACCACTAAATATCATTCTTCTGACTCTTTTTCCTACCATTTAGTTATGGAGAAGCCAGTTTTCGCTGTTGGTCATACAGACAATGGGTTGGATTTAGTCCATGGGCCAGAGTGCCCTGGCCCCTTTTGTAGGTACGGGGAGAAATGTGGACTTACAGGGTTTATTTCTGGGTGTGACAGGCGTACAGCATTTATTTGTAGGATTCTGGGGGAGGATGCTGGTAAGGATTAGCTGGATTCATTTATGGCAGGGAACATTTTAGCCTCCTTAAGTCTGCCCTTGGCAGAGCTACTGTTCAAAGGCAAGTCCACCTCGAGGAAGTGGGATTTGCCTCGTGAAAGTGCTCAGCTCCGACGCCACTCTCTCCATGGGCCTCTAGCTCAACTGCAAATGGTGATCATTGTATCTGGTTCCAGCAGATGGCTTGGTGGCCAAGTGCCAGACTCTCACATGGCGGACCATAGTTCGAGTCTCAGACCTGGTAGCTTGAAAATTGTGTTTGTGAGCCCAAAATCTCGAGAGGAGACTGGAGGAGAAGGGACTGTGGTGCAGCCATTCCCTGTGAGGGGTGATTTCTCACTTTCTGTGTCTCTCTGTTTCTCACCAGTGATTGCATGTACCCTATGGCAAAATAGCTTTTAAAAAAGTATCTGCTTCAAAGGGTTGTTGTGAGCCTTGAACGAGTTAATGTATTTATCGGCACAGAACAGGGCCCGGCAAACCATGACCTAGGTAGTAGTTAGTTATCACTGATGCTGTTATTGCGGCTAATCCTCATCCAGTCCGAGCTCCGCTCGCGCCCTTTCAGTGTCCCCCTCCAAACCTGTGCCCACCACCAGCCAGTACGCAAAGGGTCTTCCAACGCCTGATGTGGGCCTGTTCTTCCTCCCCTCCAAACCTTCCATGGCTCCCTAGTGCGCCGGTAGCCAGTGACAAGCTCCTTAGCCTCATATTTGAGGTGCATCATATTTCCCAGGCTAACTTCCTGTGGCTCCAGCCATGTTATGGGTACATAGCTGGACAGCTCAGGGTGCCCCTCTGGCCCTCCACCAGGAGTGGTGCCAGTGCGCCCTGACTTCCCTGCGCAGGAAGCTTTCGTCCGGCTCCTTTGCCCTGCCGGTGGGTTGAGTGCCTCTTCTGACCTCCGCGAGCTCTGCCGTCCCTGTGGCCCGTGGCACCTGTGTGTGGAGGCTTTGGGGTGGAGAGTTGATTCATCTCGGGGCTCCTGCCCCAACCCAAGGCCCAGACTCGGGCACCCCTGCCCCCGCAGGCCTCTCCTTGGTGGTGGGCCTGGTTCTTTACATCTCCAGCATCAACGACGAGGTCATGAACCGGCCCAGCAGCTCCGAGCAGTACTTCCATTACCGCTACGGGTGGTCCTTCGCCTTCGCTGCCTCCTCCTTCTTACTCAAAGAGGTGATGTCGCGGGGCCTGATTCTTGGGTCCGGGACGAGGCTGGAGGTGGAGACTCTTATGAGGGAGGTGGTGGCTGAACATCCAACCCCAGTGTCCTGGGGAGGGCCTGAGAGCGCCAACTCCTGGGGTGGGGACTGGAGACCCAGACTCCCGGGTCTTGAGAAGGGGGGTCCTGAGGACTTTGGGCCCTGGTTCTTAGGTCCTGAGAGAGGGGGTGGCTGGGGCTGGATTCTTGGGTCCCAGGAGAGGGGGCAAGAGGCGGCCGGTGGGGGCGCCTGGGGGACCTGACGGTGCCGTCCGCAGGGGGCGGGCGTGATGTCGGTGTACCTGTTCACCAAGCGCTACGCGGAGGAGGAGATGTACCGTCCGCACCCTGCCTTCTACCGCCCGCGGCTCAGCGACTGCTCCGACTACTCCGGCCAGTTTCTGCAGCCCGAGGCGTGGCGCCGCGGCCGCAGCCCGTCCGACATCTCCAGCGACGTGTCCATCCAGATGACGCAGAACTACCCTCCCGCCATCAAGTACCCGGACCACCTGCACATCTCCACCTCGCCCTGCTGAGGCCCGGCCCCAGGCGCCCGCCGCCTCCCGCACTCCCGGCTCCCAGCAGAGGAAGCTGCGCCAGCTTCAGGCCCCGCCCTCTTTCCCGTGACCCCGCCTCCCTCGTTACAACGGCCCCGCCCCTTCCCCATCTCTCCTCTTCATTGGTTCCTTCTACTTCCAGGTGACCCCTCCCCTTCGTCTGCCCGCCCCTCTGGCCCCGCCCAACCAGAGAATAC